TTTCATTTATTTCACACAAAGGCTTCCAGAAAGTTCCACAAAAACTTCCATCAACTAAAAAAACTTCATGCTTACGGCGGGACTCGAACTCGGGGTCTCTCTGGTGTAATCCACACGCCTTACCGATTACACCAACTCGTGTTGACAATTCACGACGAAATTTACAATCTCTAGGCAACGTTTGACAACCATCCATTGACGTCATGATGTCAAAGAGTTTGAACCACTTTTTTGTCACAAAAGGAACAGTCTGTTCCTTGGAAGGTCAAAATTAAATAATTGTTCGTCAGTCTATGTTTTAAACTAACTCGTTCCATGTGATGATTAAGGGAAAGATGAACGCGCACTACGCGCAGTAACTCTTTGAAAAATAATGTGTTTTACAGTGTCGCTAATTTAATTCACATTGTATGTAGTACACATGTGAGAAACATACAAAGAACAAATTGTTAATAAAAGTGACGAGTTTGATTCTTCTGATATATTCAATTACCTACTCTTTACCAAGATGTACATAGTTCACGTATTAAATAAAAGTCCTTTTGAGCGAAATATTTAGCTGACACTTTAAAACTATTTGAGGTTTTTAATTACCTTACTGTGATATCGTGTTCCATTTCACAAGTTCAACAACGAAGTTGAACTTTTACCAAATTCAATTCTTACACGTGCCACAATTTTATTGTGTTTACTAGTTATTATCTATTATTCAATTTCTAGTATATTAGGTACGGCAAAAAGATCATCTTGTGGATAGGTACTCTATTTTATTAATACAAACAAGGCTTTTGTTACAAATATCCAAATATTAACTTTGTATACAGATCGAAGAGAGATTAATTTTCTAAGAAAACCATTTTTCTAGTAAAGTTGTGTATTGTTTAGGTATGGCTATGTTTGTATGTTTTACAGCTATCTTATTGCTCATAATTTAATTGACTTGTTTTAAAAGAATTCAGTGTAATTTTGATCTAAGATCAGTCGGTAAGTCAGTCTAAGATCGGTAAGTGGAGGTTCCTTTGGTCTGGCGAGGTGATCATGCCTGGTAAGTCTAACCTAAGTTGGGATTTTCTATCCATGATTATTATGCACAAACCTTTTCTTGTATGATGTAAATGACTTTACCAGTGACTTCATCTACAAATCGTTTGAGCCGTCTTTAATCTTATTGCGTGTCGATACAAAGTTGGAGGTTGATTTCTATCTTCTCATCATAATAAGCCTATAAGTGCCCACTGCTGAGCAAAGGCCTCTTCTCATACGGAGAAGGTTTGATTTTTTTGGCATTGATCACCACGCTTGGTCAATGCGGGTTGGCGATTTCAAACTTATAATTAGAAATTATAAGTTCAGGTTTCCTCACGATATTTACGTTCACCGTATGTCAGTGGTGTCTAAATAATCATAGAAAGTACATTAAAATCGAAAAAAGTCACATTGGTACTTGCTAGGTTTCGAACCCACACCCTCATGCATGAGAAGCGGGCTCCTTGCCGACCACGTGGCCACCACGACACAATATTCTATCTTCTGTCCCATAATAAATATTCTAGTCTCATTGAATTATGAGTTTTAACACATAAAAAATTTGGCGTATCCAAAAACTATTATACTTAATGTTGTAAACTGAGAGACACGCACTTTATATGCTTAATACTTTATTGAATCTACAATCCCTCTATCCTTAAAAGACATTTTTTAAAGGAACATCTGTGATTTCGGAAACTGGTATCGCGTTACAAAATATTATGTGACGCAGCTTTTATTAATCGAGCAGTTATGACCATCATTATTGACCCGAATATACGTCTGCCCGCTATCCTACTGAAATAAGCCTAATCTCATTGAATTACGACTTAGATTATAATTGACGCAAAGTTTCTTACATTTTTCAAACTAAGGAACAAATGCCTCACTGGGGATCCGTAAAAGGTACCCCTTGTACCTTTTACATTGTGTGATGTTGGAAATAGGTCTCGTGTGACATAATATTGTTTTGCCGCTTCATGTAAAATGAATTAGGGTCGCTACACTTCTTTATCCGGAGCGCGTATTCTGCTTATGCTCCTTGTTAAGTTTTAATTTATTTTTCAAGCAAATGTGAACCTTATCTAATATCAAAGGTAGGATAAAAGTATTTTGTACATTGCTTTTATTGAAAATTAGGTTAAGATTATAGAGAGGTAACTTGGATAACAGGTGAGACTAAGTATTTTGAATTAATTGTATTTATCTAAACCACTGAAAGTGTAGGAAGGAGTACGATTTTTGAACTAAACATAGTTATGTTCACTTTAAAATAAAATGCAATGGTTTTTAAAGAAGAAAAGTTTTATTCTACGTTTGCGATTTATTCACATCATTCATATTTTATTTTAATTCCTCTTTCAAAATAGGTCGATGCATGAAACCATGTGTAAATGCTTGATATTCAACGTTCTCGTAGCTTCAATAAATCTGGAACTTTATTTTTAAGCTTGAATATCTTTCTGTTTTGCTTATTGTAACATGTATATTATTTTGTGGTTACTCTATTTATTAGTCACAAACCAGTATATGTAATTCCGTAGATGCGTGCCTTTAATCCACAAAGCTGCGTTGGTAACCAGAAAGGTACCAATGTGACAACTTGCTTGTGTATATATATATATTTAAGACATGTTTATGCATCTGTTGGCCTTTGATTAACCAATATGGCTTGAGCAAGTGTGATATAATTGATGCTCATTTCTCCACGTGATCATGATGATGGCATTGAACACAGCCCATAGATACCCCATTTAAGTGTGGGAGAGCCATGCTAATGGCACGAATGGATCGGCTCGCTCGAAGTGATACCACGGCCTTACAGAAAACCGGCGTGAAACAACCATAGCGTTGTGTTTCGTCGTGTGAGTGAGGTTACCGGAGGCTCAATCCTTCCCCTCCCCAATCCCAAATCTCTAATCCCGAATCCCTAAAAGGTCGGCAACACACTTGTAACTCCTCTGTTGTTGGTAAATAGTTACCATCAGGTAATCCGTTTGCTCGTTTGCCGGCCTAAAACATAAAAAAAGATATTGGCATTACACTACGTTTAAGAATATTGAAAACAAAACACGGTGTAAAGACACGTTAGTACACTTGGGTATGTCCAAAATGAAACACAAAGAAGTTTCATTAAAATAGATCATAATGACAACTATTATCTGCCTAATACTCTTACTTATTCAGCAAAATAAAGGCGTAGCCAAAGACAACGGATAGTTTTATTCATTTTTGCAACTAAATGTATAGATTTCTGTCACCATTTTCCTTTAAAACAAAATATCTTGAGTATATTAGCGGGGCGTCTGACGTTAGTACTAAGTTACGAGGCAGGCGAAGTAAATCGCTTCTCATGTTCCCTAAGTGCACTGAAGGTGGATGCATCTTATGGCGCCTACGGGACGAGATGGAAAGACTCTTTATGTGAAAATACTTTTCTTGTATAATCAAGGCTTTGAAAGATAGGCATACTAATAAATTAAATTTAAGTTTGTTGTGAATGGTGTCGGTTATAAAAATAAAATTATAAAAATTATAAATTTAAAAATAACGTTATAAAATTAACTTCTGCCTAAAATAAATTAAAATTAAATAAAAAATCTGTAATATTTGCCTATTTAAACTTTATTTATTAAATGAGATTGCATTTAATTAAATCCTTTAAATTCTGTGACAATGGCCCATAAATAGATACCTTAAAAATATACAAGTTGACGTGCACGTGTAATCAGTAACCATTGTAACTACATGAAGTGTTTGAAATTAATTTGAAGGTTGGCTAAATGATGTACCGCGGTGCAGTTCAGAGCAGAAGTAGAAAGAGGTTGGTTTGATATATTTTGCATTACGTATTCGACTTAACATTCGTAGATACTCGACAGAACCTACATAAGAAGCATCTTTGGATTTTAGCGAGTATAATATTCAGAAAATTCCTCCTTCCATTGTGGCCGGTAAAATTATTGAATGATTTTACAATCATAAAAAAGAAATTCGTTTGAGACTTCTTTAAAACTTTTATTAAATTAATAAAAATATAATCTTGTCTAGGAATCGTCCAAAAGTTATTTTCAGGAGTTGTTTGTTGAAGAAGATTAGGTTAAGAGCTAATTCATGATGAATTAGCTCTTAACCTCTTTTTCTTTTAAAACTATCGATGAATTACAGAGACACAACAACTTTGGTCTGAAAACATTCTTCTATAGTGTCATAAATGCTTATAAAAGTCAATACAATATCTATCTATGACACAAACTTAGAAAAACAGACACAAATAACACACGACTCGAGTATCTTTAGAAGAAAGTTTCTTTTCGTAAGTCAAAGAAAAGTTTCAGTTCTGAGTGCCCTTAAATGAGACGATAAGTGACAAGTTGCCTTCGGGAAGGATATATCTGTATCATGTTTCTTTATTACATACGGGCCTATAACAGATGATTGACATTTGTAAATCTGATTTCCATAGAAATTCGAAAAGGAGTAAGGAAATCGAATGTTCTGTTCATCCCCACACGGGTTCTTTGCACGTTTCTTGACGGTTCTTTGCAATTGGTATATCCTTGCATTTAGAACTAAATAAATACAGTTATAATAAATATATAATACAAGCAGATTATTATTATTTCCAGTAGAAAAATACTAATGGTATTATATGATCAAAGATTGAAACCCTTTAGTGATGTAATTTCGGTAACATTTATAGTTATAATATTTATTAACTCCATTTAGGTTGATATGAAAACGATAAATTCTTTACGACTGTAGACTTATTGGTGGGCCAACCATCCCGACGTAATCCTCTTATATTATATTAAGACCGTCTGATATTGTTCATAAATAATAGTTCAGAAAGACGGCTGTCACTTATTATTTTCGGCGATTAATGGTCCTTTCACAGCGGGGTATTCATAAACTAAGATTGTGAGTCAAGTTTAATTATTATGGTGTTAATGAATATTTTCATTGTTACAGATAAACATGTCGGCTCCAACAACTGACAGCACAGAAGCTATCACCAATTCTGGCTACGGCAGCAGTGATGAGACTGCGAGCTTACTCGTCACCGGACCCTCAGTCACTGTCATTGTCCCATCAGAAAACAGAACAGTTAAACCAGTTCTGCAAAGGCAAGACTGTACTACTCATCTACGACCTCAACTATCAGGCGGGCCTGGCAGTGAGGAAAGTGCAACCTCAATAAGAATGGACGAAGGCACCGCAAGAAGTGTCCCTGACATCGAGCTCCAATGTCGGGAACCGGCAGACCGACCTCAGACACTCGTGTCTCCCGTAGCGACGTGCTCGCACAGAGGGTCAGTGACCGCCTGCCAGTTAGTTCCGCAAACATATTCGAGATGTCGCGTCTGCGAACGGCGACAGTCCACCGCACCAATTTCAGCGCTACAACTAGCGCGCTCTGTGTCGAGAGAGAGCGTTCGCTCGGCCGTGCACTACCCTTGCGGCTGTAGCTCGCTCCATGCCGTTAGTACATGCCCCGTCATACAACCCCCGGCGCTACTGTTGCCTACAACTAGTACAAGGATAATCCGCCAGAGTTCGCAACCTGAGTCTAGCGCATGCGCGGCGCACTGCCCCCATCACCCTCACCACCACCCCAGCGCCTCCCTGCGGCAATTACGAGAACCAGGAGACGGTATCGCTGGCATCGCCGCGGACTCTCTGCGAATCAACGGGGGTATGCGCCCTTTCAAACAGGTATGTTCCTCTTTTGTTAGGTGGCGCCACTGTTTTATTAAACGAATCATACATTGTAGATTTTTTCGTTTTTAGCCTAAGACATATAAGTGTGTTCATGCACTTGTAGGTGCTTTTAAATAAATTTATTAACCAGTTAGAGTAGATATGTAGTATAGTAATGCCCATAACTCAACGGTGGAAAGCATAAGGGATAAAGCAATTAATCAAGATGAATAAAATTCAATTTGATTCAAATAAATGTAATAGCAATCGTTCACGAATACAATTTCAATCGATAAAATATTTTGAAACGATGTATTAGGTATATTATATATACTATGAAAATCGGCTTTAACAAAAAAAAAAAAAAAAAATCAATAAAACAAAAATTATTTTTGTGTTATTTGTAAATACTCAGCTAGAAAGTCGTATAGCTGCTTTTAGAAATATTTGTATCAAAGTACTATGTAAAGCTTTAACGCTCGAAGGCAAAAGAAATGCAAAAAAGGTAAAACGTAGGAGCCGTTACTTTGTCAAGGCAATCAGACATTGACAGAAAGTTCTGCCGTTGTGAAGGCCTCTTTGGCAGAAATTCTCAACGAGATGAGCCTTTTCTTAATGTCTGCCTTTACAACTCACGGCCATTTAACTCGCTCCTACGACACTTGGCAATGTTGTAACACTCTTTCGAGCTCTCAAAGCCATTTCGAGATTAGAACTAGCAAAAAGCCTCGCAACATGAATACAAATCATACTGTACGATCGTACACTGTGTTAATCGGTGTTGTAGTAATACTTATTGTGTGTTTTAGGCGTATCATTTAGTGTGAATATCAGTATTTTGATGGATCATACCAATTCATTTCCATAAAGCGATAAATTCCTTGACAGTCTTATCCTGGCTCTGAGTAAATCGCGATGCAGATGGCGTGTAAGTGCTGTGTACGGGTCTTGAGACGGGTATTCCCATCTAACTAAATCAAATCAAAATAGTCCTTTGATTTGATTTCTGTTTTTAACCTGCAGGGGCTGCTCCTCTGTCCACAAACCCTGTCGCAGACGCGCCGAGCCCGGCTGAGACGTGCATTCACTGAAGCCACGGGGGATACTGTTAACTACGTTAAAACGGTGGGCTTCAACCTATTGGATTATGCACCGTCGAATACTGCTATCGACTGTACAATTTCCCTTCTATTGAATTTCCAGCAACCTGTTTCAAATAATAACAGTAATTTAGCGTTCAAAAAATAACCTACACAGCCGACACAAACTTTTAAAGCAAAACCCAGCACTGTGCAGTTAGATTTTTAAATAGATTGCAACTCCAAATTAGCGGCATAGCATGTTAGTAATTAAGCCACGACACAAATAAGAAACGAAAACATTTAAACTGAATTAGTTTTAGAATTACCTACACCACACTAGTCACGACCCACGTCAGGTTGTACAGTCGAAAAGCAGGTATCTGTGGATTTATCACCAAAGTAATTTGTTAGTTGGCGAATGTGTCGTCCCTATAGCTTCGTCTAATGACCACCGTTAGCCATTCCCCCCACGCCCCTGACATCTTACCCTGGCACCAAAATTGCTTGTCACGAACAAATCGTTTTCTGTTCATCACTTTGTTCAAGCAAAAATATCATCGAGCACTTTTATTCGGGACTCGACAAATTGACTTAGTCCATCGAGTGTCTACGCACAAAAGCAACGTACCTTTACAATATCATTATATCTTACACCTCGATCATGATTTGCTGTTTTGGGGATTCATTTTTGAATTCCGAAGTCAACGAAAACGTTTTGTCATCGCTTTGGGAACCCATTACTCAGGCAAACTACACAGCACCTACACAATCATTAGCTATCCATTCATTCGCATTGTTTTGATGGATATAGGTAGCGCTATGCACTTTAGATCGATGATTAGATTGCACAGAAATGTCGCTTTTCAAAACATTTTTAGATAACGTTTTCTTTTATGTTGCTACTGAGTGATATTTTACATTCAGTTCCAGATTTTATCGTTATTATTTTGACAAGATTTATAAATTATTTCTGATGTTTATTTTTATTAAGAATCTGTTTAAACGACCTTAGGTTTTAAACTATTCTAGGTGCTCCAAAGAAAAGAAAATTAGGTTTTTTAACATGTAGGTACCACATAACGATTTCTAATATTGTTAACACGTTAATTAATTTCTTTCGACAACTGCAACCAACTCGATTTTTTAAAAACCTAAGCAGTGTCCTTATAATATTTTTATAAAGACTGAGAACCATTTTATAGACGATATATTTGAATATAGAACGTAATTTGTATGAACTTTTGTGCCAAATAAGTTTATATCGTGAAATCTGTGAAACAGGACCTTCTACTAAGAATTATTTCTAAAGGTATCGTTAATTTATGATCTTCATTAATTTATAAAGTACAGTTTGATATCTAGATCAGGCAATGATATCGAAGTAATAAAAGACGTTTGTACGTGCAAGTAAGGCACCGTGATATTGAGGATTATTTTGCATCAAGACGCCATCAATTTTATTGTCGGATCATAAAGCCTTCCCACCTGACGCTTGCGGGAAAATTCGTTTTCACCCGGCAGTTTCATGCATAATATTTTTAGAATTTTTATGACATCATCAACAAAGTTCAAGGTTCGTGACACTCTTACTAGATTTAGTAAATGGATTAACTTGAATATTCCTTAATGTGTTTAATAATGGACAGTTGCGATACAATTTGGCAGGAGACCAGACGTTTTGCCTAAGTGAATATAATTACTTAAGTGAAGCAAATTGGACAGAAAATGTGTTGCCTGCTAAGGTGAATTCGTACCCGGACTCTGTAATTAGATAAATTCCTTAAATCTGAATGCTTTGTCTGTTGCTAGTCTGTTAGATAATGGGGCACAGCTTTATGTTTTCACAAGAAAATTTTGAACTTAAGTGTTAAGCGTGCTTTTCATTGTTATATTAGAAAAAAAGTATATTAATTTTTTGGTTTTATAATGTGCACTTGTTTAATTGCAATTAATTTATATAAAATTTCAAGAAACATCAAACGAACTAAAACTTTTTTGAAACATAATGCAAATGGTTATCTTTAACTAAAGTCTAAAAGTATTGCGCTAGATTAACTATCACAACCAAAACGCTTACAACAAGCTACACGTTTTTTTTTTGTAGAAATACGAAAAAGCTAACATTTTCCTTAATGGATGCTATTATCGTGGAAGTAGCGACTAACAAGTGGATTGGTTCAAGCTTCAATTACAATTCCTACTGTGCGTAGGCATATAACTCGTAACGATATAAAAGATGACTAAGGTTATGACTCTTTTATTTTTCAGCAATCATTATGTGCCCTTTTATTGGCTCTCAAGCCACGCTTTTGACAGTAAACGTGTTTAGTACGGTACCACTGGTTTATTTTCCAAATAATTAGTTGTTCGAGAGTTCATTTAGGTATCTTATTTACAATTAATATAGGTATGTATTATTGATGATATATTTTATAATAAATAGAGAAAAGTTTTGATTTTCTTGGCATCTGTTTATCAAGAAATATTGCAATAGTTTTTTCTTTATTTCTTAAAAAAAGTATAGAAAAAATAAGATATCTAAAAGTAATATCACTTTTCAATTAAAACTTATTACATCAATTAATTATGTAAAAGATTTTTTTTTAATTTTTAATATATAATATATTTTTATAATCAAGGATTAAATAGATGATTATTTCGTTTACATTTGCGCATTTGGGAGTTTAAAGCCGGGATTCTACTATTTCATTGTTAGAGTCTATTGTGGGCTTTCTATTATCCGACCGTCAGAGAATACTATAATTAATTCGGCTGCTTCCCTAGTATGCTCTAATTGCAGTTGATTTAAACAAAAACAATTAACGTTTAGAAGTTAGCTGCACGAAAAGCAAACAGAATGTTGTTCAGTATTAACCCTTCGTCTGTTCGATGTTAACAAGACTTTATAATATTTTTTAATAATATACTATAATTAATATACTATATTTTACAGTGTCTTATATAGTGACTAACTATATTAACATGGGTTCCATATTCTTACATTCAAATATGTTTGCATACATAACGGAATGTCTCTTTTATAGGTAGTTACGATCCTTTCATATCAGCCAAAATCCAGTAATTGGCACCACTTCTAAAATATCTTGGCAAGTTGAGTATAGTTAAAACGGTTTATTGTATCCAGAACAGAATTTCGAAGGATATTTTTCTTGTTTTTTATATTAACATGGAGAGGTCGTCTTCGGTCAATGACTTTACGAACAGGATCACAACCTACATGGCAATGAAATTACGTAAGGTTACCGATGAACATTGACACTTCAAGTGGAAGCAATTTTATGTCCTTAATTATTTCAATCAATTGAATTTTATGTCGAAGTCTGTTCACTTTTACTTTAAATAGTGAAAACTATTATAATTTAATTTATTTACAGTTTTTACTATGAGTGTAAGTAGATGTTATGAATCAGAAAGAATGTGTCTGGATAAAAAAATATTCGAATAACTCGGTCGATATCCAGATCAGATAAAACGTTGGTAAATGTTTCAAAATGTTGTTAATTGTCGTTACACTTGCCAAGACCCAGAATTAAATCGATAGGTCAAAGAATCTATAACTTCAATTGATACAATGAAACAATGAAACAATGAATTTATTTTTGCAAATAGGCCATAAAACGGCACTTTTACACGTCAATTTATATGTGAAAAACTAGATGAAGCCGGATAAAGTGGTACATGGTGGTTGATAAAGTATACCTATAACGCTTGTTTTTCTTCGAAAATAAATCATATTAGGTTTTTAATTTTATGAACTCCTCTTGTATAATATCCACGTAGTTCAGTATGGGAAAACTATGCAAAGGCACGAATGTAGTAAAGATACTACACTATACAGAACCCGTGAAACAACTCCTGTGTGATGTGGTGTGAACCCCATCTTCTCCTCCAATTCTCAATCCCAAAATCTCCCATTCTTCGCGCTCAAAAGACCGGCAACGTATAATATGTATCTTTCGAATATTGCGAGATCACAAGCTGTGCCAAGTGCTTACTATCCGGTGGTCCGTTTGCTTGTCTTTGATCTATGGCAAAAACAAGGTGTGTCTTCTTCTAATAATACTTCGTGTCAAAGAGGACTTCATTTTTAAGAGCACTGACACACACCACACTGGTATGTTCACTTAATGCAATACACTAGTTACACTACTTATAATCTCTGCGAATCCGTGCAAAATAAAGTAAGTTATAGATATACCTAATCAGCTCTTGGTATTCTACCCGACTCCATTGAATCGGCCTTCTGGGATACGAGTTCTGTCTGTAAACCCCAATATATTCTGCACTATTACTATCTTGCTTCAGGGGACTTATATGGTCCAACTTTTTAAACGATTTCATATGTCATGCACGCCAGGTTTAGTTTGTTTTTGTGGTCAGCCCTATCTATTATAGACCTTATCAGAAAATTACAATCGTACAAGACGGCTGTTATTCTTTGAAGAGAATAATTTAATACACAAGTTGTAGATTTTTAAATAAAATTATAGTTAGTCCTAATAATAGTCCTAATAACTGATGTTATAAACGAACAGTTTGCCAAAGAAATTGAAGACTAAAATACAAGAATTTGGTAAAAAAACTTAATGCAAAAATAGGGGATGGAATATGATTCTCATGTACGGAAAACAATTTGAGATAGCTGCAAAAAATAACATTAAAATTCTAAAACCATCCGTACCTACCATTACGTTTGAATTATAAACCAATTTTTCTTCTGGCCTGCATTATCCCCCGCCTTAATGCCACTTTCCGCTTTTACACAATTGATGTACTTGTGTAGGTGAAGGACTTCATGGAGTTTTGTTTGGACTTTTTTATGACTTGGTCTGAACTCTGTGGTTCGAAACTAGTAGAGCTTTTCTCAACATTTGCACGTGAGTAACCCGCGAATTTTAGTTAATTTAGTATGTCTCACGATAGTTATTATAAAAACAACTGCAGTCCCTTTAGTATTTGTTTTATTTTTGAAAATTATGACATGCTTTATTTTAAAAACATTTTGTACGGTTTTATAATTAAAACGATGTGCTTTGATTGGTTTCTTAAAATGAGTAAACCTTTGAATCTTTTTATAGTAACTATCGTGATAAAATAATGATTTGTTTACGTGAATTAACCGAGAAAACTTCTACTAGTTTCATG